ATGCATAACACCTGCCTTACATGGATAGAGCATTTCAGACATTCATTCCATCAGCAAACGCTGACCTGGTGTCAGGTGCTCTTTTAGGTTCTGGGAAAACAGAGATGAAGGCACCTGGCCTTCAAGTGGGGCAAGAAGGTGAGGGAGTAGGGAGGAAAGAGGCACAAGGAAAGATCCACCCATGTTCAGTATTCTTGTGTTCAGAAGCTGGACGTCCAGGAATGACAATGGGCTATTACAAAGTGGTAGTTTCATCTATATCTACTTTTCAAAAAGTCAATATCTCAAGAACCAGAAGAGACTTTTGGATAATCCTAGCTTTGCCACTTATTCAGTCTGTATGCTGAGCAAATAATCTGAGAAGCTGGACTATATGAAGAAGAACGTGGCATCAGGATTGGAGGAAGACTCATTAACAACCTAAAATATGCAGATGACACAACTTTGCTTGTTGAAAGTGAAGACAACTTGAAGCACTTAGCTGATGAAGGTCAAAGACCACAGCCTTCAGTATGGATTACACCTGAATATGAAGAAAATGGAAATCTTCACAACGGGACCGATAAACAATATCACGATAAACGGAGAAGAAACAGAAGTTGTCAAGGATTTCATTCTACTTGAATCAACAATTAACACCCATGGAAGCAGTAGTCAAGAAATCAAATGAGGTATTGCATTGGGCAAATCTGCTGCAAAAGGTCTCTTTAAAGTGTTAAAAAGCAAAGATATCACCTTGATGACTAAGGTGCGCCTGACACAAGTCATGGTGTTTTCAGTCGCCTCATATGCGTGTGAAAGCTGAACAATGAAAAAGGAAGATCAGAGGAGAATTGGCACATTTGAATTATGGTGTTGGTGAAGAATGTTGAATATACCATAGACTACCAGAAGAACAAACAAATACATCTTGAAGGAAGTATAAACAGAATGATCCTTAGAAGTGATGATGGCAAGATTTGGTCTTGTTTACTAAGGACATATCATCAGGAAAGAGCAATCACCAGAAAAGGACATCATGTTTGGTAAAGCAGAAGGTCAGTGAAAATGGGGAAGACCCTCCATGAGATGAACTGACGTGGTGGCTGCAACAGTGGGCTCAAACATACCAATGATTTTGAGGATGGTACAGAACCAGGCAGTATTTCCTTGTTACACATAAAGTCACTATGAGTTGGAACCAACTCCACAGCTACTAACAATAGCTTTGCCACTTACTAGCCATGTGAACTTGAACAAGTTTCCAAAATCTCTGTGTCTCAGCTTCTTCATCTGTAAAACGGGCGAATAATAGAACTTATTTTATGAAGTTGTTTTGAGGATTAAATGAGTTGATGCATGAAAGGTGAGAAGTACAGTGCTTGGCACATAGTAGGTGCTTGATCAATGAATATCAGCTATTATTTTCCAGACTAACACCTTTGAACTATGGTCTTCGTGAAGAATATTGAATATACCATAGACTGCCAGAAGAACAAGTCTGTCTTGGAAGAAGTACAGCCAGGGTGCTCTTAGAAGCAAGGATGGCAAGACGTTGTCTCTCGTACTTTGGACATGTTATCAGAAGGGATCAGTCCCTGGAGAAGAATATCATGCTTGGTACAGTGGAGAGTCAGCGAAAAAGAGGGAGACCCTCAGCGAGATGGATTGACACAGTGGCTGCAACAATGGGCTCAAGCATGGCAAGGATTGTGAGGATGGCATAGGACCGTTCAGTGTTTTCTTCTGTTGTACGTGGGGTCACTGTGAGTGGGAACTGACATGACAGCACCTGACAACAACAACAACCTCATTGTTATCAGAAGAGTGAAAAAATAAGACACAAAAGGATTGACTGACTTGTTCAAGGTCACATGACCAACTTAAATTCACATAAACAGCTGTAGGCAGAAGCTTGAGCCAGCCCCTAAGGCCTGGATATCTGGTCCACCCTGGTTGAGCAGGAATAACACACCTTCTGCCCTTTATTGGAAGCCTCTGTTGTTCTATTTCAGGCACTTTGCCTTCCTTGTCTCTTATCTCAGCTACCCGCCTGAAAAAAAAAAAAATGTTGCCATCGAGTGGATTCTGACTCATAGTGACCCTACAGGACAGAGTAGAACTGTCCCATAGGGTTTCCAAGGAGCAGCGGGTGGATTCAAACTGCCAATCTTTTGTTTTGTAGCCATAGCTGTTAACCACTGTGCCACCACCTAAGGCAGGATTATTTTTCCCATTTTCCAGATGAGGAAACTGAGGCTTGGAGAAGCTAGGTCACCTGTTCTGGATTGCAATGAAGCCGAAGTAGCAAAGCTAGGACTTGAGTCTGGGTCTGCCCGTTTTCAGGCCCATGGACCTGTAGACTCCACCTGTGCTGTGTTCTGTTGGGTCACGTGTCCGAGAGGCCAAGAGGAGAGGCTTCCTCTGTCAGTGGCAGCAGCGGAAAAGCCTTTTTTGATAGCAGAGCTCAGATGCGTTTTAAGACATGCAGCTGTCAGCCAGGCATGTTTTCCTCCCAAGACTTTTGCACTAGCGATCTCTAGCTCCCTCAACTTTTGTGCCTAGTGGACTGGGAGGGCCACAGCTCCAGGCAGCACCACCTGGCCAGGGTCGTCCAGGTGCTCAGCTGGCCTGCAGGGCTGTGCCCTTCCAGTGGGTGGCTGACACTCACCCCTCGGTGCCTGCTCCACCAAGCACAACAGTAGCCGACCCTAAGCTCGAGAGAACCAAAATCAAACCAGTTGCCATTGAGTCAGTTCTGACTCATGGCGACCCCATGTGTGGCAGAGTAGAACTATACTCCATAGGGTTTTCAATGGCTGATTTTTTGGAAGTAGATTGCCAGGACTTTCTTCTGATGTACCTCTGGGTGGACTCGAACCTCCAACCTTTTGTTTAGCAGCAGAGTGTGTTAACTGTTTGCACCACCCAGCAATTCCCCATTTGCCCAGATGGCGTCTCATCACTGCCCTGTTAGAGCAGGGCATGAGAAGAGAGCAAAAAGGAATGGGCTTCTGGGTTCCCTGCAGCAAGACTCCTTTAGCGAGAGGCTCTGGGCCTTTGGGACCCACAGTTTGAAGCTGGAGACACAGGAGGAGTGACTGCTCCGGCTCCATGGCCCTTGCAGTCCCTTAGTCCAAGCCCGACCACTCACTGACCTGGGCTTTCCAGCCCCCAAGCCTTTGCTCTCTCTGCTTCTTCTCCCTGCCAAGCTCCTTCGCATGCATCTCTGCCTCCTATTGCCTCCTCCAGGAAGCCTTTCATGATTGCCCAATTGAGAGAAGCTGTGGATTTTGACTTAGACACCCTGAGCCACTTCCTGGCTCTCTCACTTACTGGCTGTGTGATGTCCGCTGAGTTACTTCACCTCTCTGATCCTCAGTGTACCCCTTCTGTGAAATGGGGTAAGAAAGGAGGAACAGGCACCTGACATAAACTAGATAGCTAGTATGTGTTTTGTCTCTTATTCAACCCACCCACCCTCCAGTCACGCTTCAAGGAAGATGTGTTGTTGTCAGTTGCTGTGGAGTCAGCTCCAACTCATGGCAACCCCATGTGAAACAGAACAAAATGCTCCCTGGTCCTGTGCCAGCTTCACAATCACTGATATGCTTAAGTCCATTGTTGTGGCCACTGTGTATTTTGAGTGCCTTCCAACCTAGGGGACTCATCTTCCATCACTGAATCGGACAATATTCTGTTGTGATCCGTAGGGTTTTTGTTGGTTGATTTTCAGAAGTAGATCACTGGGTCTTTCTTCCTAGTCTGTCTTAATCTGAAAGCTCCACTGAAACCTATCTGCCATGGGTGACCCTGCTGGTATTTTAAATACTGGTGGCACAGCTTCCAGCATGACAGCAACAGGCAAGCCACCACAGTACAGCAAACTGACAGACGGGTGGTGGGATAGGAAGGTAAGGGCATTTATTTCACAGAGGAAGGCAAGGGGGCTCTGGGAAGTAAAGTCAAATGCCAGAGTTCACACAGCTGGAAAGTGGTAGACCCAGGATATAAACACACATCTGCCTGTCTCTGAAACCTGGCTACAATCACTATTTTTCAGGGTTATTGGTGTTTGAAGGAGCTCAATGAATAGCCCTCTCCTTGCCCAGCTGAGAGGTAGACACAAGGTCAGCCAGACGGATATCAGTGTCAGTTCTACTAGGAGCTGAATTGGAGGGCATAGCCTCAGGGTCTGCAGACAAGGGGGCTTCCTCGTATCACACCCCAGAATGATGCTGACCCACCCAGGCACAGCAAAGTGGAAAATGACAGACCTTTCTCTTCCTCTCCCACCCTGGCTTTCCCTGCCCTGGGAGTCTGCCCGATAAAATCTACAGCATGGAGGCTTAGAAGAATGGAGAACACTGGCCTTCTGTGGGCAGGCTGGCTCTGATGACGTGGAGGGAGGAGGAGGGTTGCTGCGAGGCCATGTGCAGTTCCTTCTTCCAAACTCCCTATCAGATACGTCCCCTCCCCTAACAAGGAAGATTAAGAGAAAATGTCAATATACTGACACACAGGTGTTAGTTGCGTTGAGTCGGCTCCCAACTCACGGCGACCTTCTGTATAACAGAACAAAATGTTGCCCAGTCCTGTGCCGCCTTCGTGATCATTAGTATACTGGAGTCCATTGCTGTGGCTGTTGCGTCAGTCCACCTAATGGAAGGTTTCTGTCATCTTTGCTAACCACACACTTTACCAACCATGATGTCTTTTTCTAGCAATTGGTCTTTCCTGATGACGTGTCCAAAGTAAGAGAGCCGAAGTCTCACCGTCCTCATCTCTAAGGAGCTTCTAAGGTTGACACGTGGGAGGTGCTCAAACGTTACTTTCTTCTCCCTCTCTTTCTTTCTCGTCAATATCATTGTTTCTCTGACTGTAGCTGTGGAGAAAGTGGCTGAGCTGACTCAAGGTCAAAGCAAGCCTTGAACCATGACCCGTTGTCAATTACCAGAGCCACGTTCCCCTCTGCTTGCTCCCACAAGTGGAATAACTCTCTCTCTCTGACCTTGATCTAGGGCTTGGTCATTGAGCGCCTGGGACGGAGACCCCTTCTCATTGGTGGCTTCGGGCTGATGGCCCTCTTCTTTGGGATCCTCACCATCACACTGACACTGCAGGTAAGGGAATGTCCTGTCACACCTGGATGGAAGTCAGCAGGCAGCTGGCTTCCCTTCAGCTTGCCTTCAGCTTGGGGGGCTCCTACTGTCTACAGACCCTTCTTTGATATGGTTTTTCCAAGGGCATCTCAGCTCTGGGTCCGCTGGTGCCGTCAGGGAAGAGGGTTTGAGGAATGAGTCCTTGGACTGGGAGACAAGAAATTTGCATTCTGGTCCTGTCATTGCCACTAATGAGCAGATGCCCCTCACAGCCTCAGTTTACCCATCGATGGAAAGCAGAGATTGCACTAGGTGACCCCTAAGATGTCCTTTCCAGATCGCACATCCCAGCCCAGGGTGGAGAGGGCTTGGGAGGCAGCCATGGGCCTGGCACTGCCCTGTTAGGCATTTTCATGATGATCGTGACACCTTTGCCTGGGTTCGAATCCTGGCCTTCCCATGTGCTCGCTATGAAACTTTTGGCAATTCACTCAACCTCTCTGCTCCTCAGGGCCCCATCTCTAAATCGGGCACAGGCATCCTGTATCCAGAGGTGGTGAGAGGATGAAATGATAAAATGCACTCACAGCCTTTGTAACAGTCCCTGCAAATATAGCAAGCGCTTAGTGAATACACGTGTATGTGTGTGGGTGGGTGCAGGAGGGTAATTAATCCTTACCAACCGAAAACCAAACTCGTTGCCGTCAAGTAGATTCCGACTCGTAGCAACCCTGTAGGACAGAGTAGAACTGCCCCATAGGGTTTCCAAGGAGCAGCTGGTGGATTTGAACCGCTGACCTTTTGGTTAACAGTCGAGCTCTTAATTACCACACCAGCAGGGCTCCAGTTAATCCTCAGGAAATTGGTATTTTTTCCTTCTGTGAAGATGAGGAAACTGAGGCATAACTAGAAATGAACAAGCTGCCCAAGTTTGACAGCTAGTAAGTGGCAAAGCTGGAATTAGACCCCAGGATCCCAGGACTCCAGGCCCGAGGTCTTTCCCTCATTCCCCTGTGCACTGCTCGGGACAACTTGTGTTCGTTGAGTATCTATTCGGAGCCTCAGTCTCACCCCGGCATTGAGGGAAGCATGAGGCAAGTTCCCACCAGTCAATAAATCTCTGCATTTTTCAAAAATGAATCTCTGAATGGAAAGTTGTGCTTTTCGAGTGTCTGCCAAATGCCCTAATCCCCCAAATGTTTCCAGAAGAAGGTGACATTATCGTGGAGGTGTCTGACAAACAAGAGCTACCTATCAAAGAGGAGGTGTTCTGGGCACGCTGACCAGGTATAAGGTGAAAACATTCCCCTCATGGGGAATGTGCCAGCAGAGACTTTTTCTTCCCAAGACCCAGACTCGAGGTCCACCCGGGCAGGGCTGGCATCACAGGCTCCTTGGGCTGACCGAGCTGGGTTCTTGAAGCTTCCAGGGAACCTGGTGGGTAATACTTCAGGGCATTGTCTTTCTGCAGCTGGGGTCAGATGTTCGAAAGGGCTGCCTGGTACACATGAGCCCCATGTGAAAAAAAGAAAAACAACAGTTGCCGTCAAGTCAATTCTGACTCTTGGCAACCCCATGTGTCAGAGAAGAACTGCTCCATAGGGTTTTCATGGCTGTGACGTTTTGGAAGCAGATTGCCGGGACTTTCTTCCAAGGTGCCTCTGAGTGGGCTTGAACCTCCAACCTTTCCATTAGTAGTCGAGTACTTAACCATTTGCACCACTCAAGGACTCTGTCTCTGCCTCAGTTAACAAGGTTACAGGGCCCTTACCACCTGGTCCAGCCTCATCTCCCACAGCACCCCACAGCCCACCCCTAGCCCCACTCCCTGTCAGCTCCCTACGGGACCTGGCCATGTCCTCCTTTGCCTTTTTCTCCTTTGCTTGGCCAGCTTCTCTTTGCATCCTAGGCTTAGTAAGCCTGAGATACCTCTTGGATACCTCTTCCTCCAGGAAACCTCCCTTGTCCCCAAGTCTGGGGGAGGTACCCTCCTCTGTGTTCCCATGGACACCAGTGGTGACCCTGTGATGTCACCCATTGCAGACCATTGGCATTCTCGGTTGCCTTTTCTCTCTCCTAACAGACAGTGAGTTCTGGTGGGCAAGGGTCTCACCTGTATCATCTCTGTATTCTGCCCTCTCAGCCCAGTGCTGGCCCTCAGGGGGAACTCAGAACAGTCTGCTAAATGAATGAAAGTCTTAGTGCAGAAGTGAGCCCTACAGTGCACAAGAGCCTGTGAAGCTCCCCTCAGTCCCAGATCCTCCTGCAGCAAGATCTGCTCAACTTAGGCACGGAAGGGTGGAGGAGAAAGGCTCCTCAGTTCTACTCTCCCCCTCTGTTCCGCGCACACTCTACTCTGAGCTCTCGGCAACTCCCCCATGCACCGAGCTCTCTCTCCTGTCTCTATGCCCTTGCCAGGGCTGAGCTTCTCTCTGGATCTCCTTTCCCTTCCTTCCCCGCTTGGCTGATGCCAGCTCAGTCGGGTGAGAGCAGACTCCCCCAGAGAGCCTTCCCTGGCTCTCTCTAGACTGAGTTAGATGCCCTCCTGGGGTACCCCTGGTATCCCCACACATGCCCACCCTATCAAAGCACTGGGGACGCCAAGTGCTAATTATCAATGATGAAGTCTGCTATTTCCTAAACCTCCTTCTGCACTGAGCATCAAGCCACCCACCCTCCTGCCAGACAAGTGGCTTGTTATTGTTGTTAGGTGCTGTCGAGTCAGCCCTGACTCATGGTGACCCCATGCAGAAAAGGAAATATGCTGCCCGGGCCTTGCCATCCCCCTGATCGGTTGCAGATCGAACCGTTGTGGTCCATAGGGTTTTCACTGGCTGATTTTCAGAAGCAGACCACCAGGCTTTCTTCGTAGTCCATTTTAGTCTGGAAGCTCCACTAAAACCTGTCCAGCATCATAGCAACACTCAAGCCTCCACTGACAGACGGGTGGTGGCTGTGCATGAGATGCATTGGTCCGGGAATTGAACCCAGGTCTCCCGCATAGAAGGTGGCAGTCCTACCACTGAACCACCAATGTCCCCCTAGACAAGTGGCAGCCCCTCCAGAAATATTTATTGAAGTGAATTAACTTAGCTCATACCTTGTCAGAAGGGCGGGGGTAGAAATATGGGGGCTTTGCATAGTAATAGTGATAGCTAAGAGAAATTTTTTTAAATAAAATAATGCCTATAAAAACTTCTCACATTGCCTGCTGCAGAGTAATCCCTCAGTCAATATGAGCTATTCATTTATTTACCACCTGCTGTATGCAGGGGACTATACTAAACTTTTTGAGGTATCATCACATTTAATCCTCACATCTGTAATGCATCCCGACTCATAGTGATCCTATAGGACAGAGTAGAACTGTTCCATAGGGCTTCCAGGGTTTGCAAGCAGATGGAATGACTTAGCGGAAATCATTATCCCCATTTTATGGAGGCGGAATCTGGGGCTCAGAGGTGTAAAGTGACCTGTCCAAGGTCACACAGATGGATGGAGTTGGAGCTGGGGTGAGAGCCCAGGCCCTGTAGATGAACCTCTGCTTCCTCACCTGCTCACCTTGCTGTTGTCTCGCAGGACCACGCCTCCTGGATCCCTTACCTGAGCATCATGTGCATCCTGGCCATCATTGCCTCCTTCTGCATCGGGCCAGGTAAGGCATCTCCCTTTCCTCACCACTGGCCCAGGGACTCACAGGACCGCCCAGTGAAAGAATTATTATTGTGTAGATAGGGAGCCTGGGGGCTAGGGAGGGCCAAGGCCTGAGTGGGGACGGAGTTTCCATCTTCCCTTTGGTCCCATTTAAATGCAGTTGACTCTCTGCCTTCGTTTCCAGCCCTCAGATGGTAGGTGATGTGAGTAGATGATATTTAACAATACAATAGTGATGATAACCATGAACACTTGTGAGCCTATAAGCCCGCTATTGTAGTAGTTTGTGATAAATCAAAGACCAAGTTATACTCTGTCCCTCTGAAAAGTGACAGTTGCCACCAAGTCATCTCTGACTCATGGTGACCCCATGTGTGCACAGTGGAACTGCTCCATAGGGTTTTCAAGGCTGTGACCTTTCAGAGGCAGATCGCCAGGCCTTTCTTCTGAGGCATCTCTGGGTGGGTTTGAACTGCCAACCTTCTGGTTAGTAGTCAAGAGCTTAACTGTTTGTGCCACCCAGGGACCCCTAATAATAATCGTAACATCTAAGATTTACTGAGCACTGATTATTTGCCATACTAGGCTAAGGCTCATGAGAGGGGAGGTGACTTGCCTGGGGTCACAGAGAGAGTGGGTAGTGGAGCCGCCCATGCCCCTAAACCACCATGTTACATGGTACCTCTGTATATTTAGAGCCTGGAATACTCTGAGCCCCAGCCTAGGTGTTGTTCTCCACCCAAGACTCACCTCTAGCCCAGGTTCTGCCATTTCCTAGCTGTGTGTCTGTGGGAAAGTCCGCTCCTCTTTTGGACCTCAGTTTATCCTTCTATAAAATGTTGAGGGTGAAATGTGACTGAAGGCACTGACGTTTCCTGGCTCCATGTCTGTGTCCAGCAGGGTCTCCCCATCAGAAGCCAAGGTGTGTGGGGCTCAGAGGTGGGTGCAGGGTGCATGACCTCGCATGGAGTGTAGGTGTCTCCTTGAGATGTTGCTTGCTGTTCTTCTTAGTTTTGGTTTCATGTTGATGAAAACCACACTAAGTTTCTATATCAGAATAAACAGAACCAAACTACTGATTCTTCCTCTGCATTGCTGATTTTCATGGGCCACTATGTTCCACATTCTGTCATATCTGTGATGAATGAAAAACCTTTTTCCCATCTGGGATATCAGGATGTTATATTGAGATGCTGGGGGCGGGGGATGTAGTGATATGGGCAAGGGCCTATAGGCGCATGCACATGCGCACACATGCACCAGGCTGTGATTCTGGTAGAACAGCTGGAGGAAGAAGAATGCCCCTTCCTGGAATAACAAATTAACAGGAGGATGAGCCAGGAGAGCATATTTGCTGCTGACAGTAGAGTCAAGGAACCAAAAGATGTTGAGCTCTATAGGCCTCTGCTTTGCCAGCTCTAGGGGCAACATTCGCATTGCATCCATGTGATCTATGTGCCTGGAGGTATGCAGCCCGTGGCCCTGTGCTAGGTTTGGGAAACCATAGTGGATTGAAATTTGTCCTCCAAAAAGATATGTGCAAGTCCTAAGGCAGTACTGGTGAACGTGACCTTATTTGGAAATAAGATCTTTGCAGATGTAATTAAGCTAAGGATCTTGAGATGAGGTCATCCTGGATTTAGGGTGGGTCCTAAATCCAATGACTGGTGTCTATACGAAAAACGAAAACTACCAGGTGACCAAGAAATCCCAATCTTAGGTCTAGGTTTAGCATACGGGGTCTCTTTAAAAGGCATGCATGATATACTTACATAAAGGATGTTATTTTATTCATGAAATGTCTCCACTTTATACTTGAATAATTACATAGCTGACACTAACATTTCTCAGAGGGCTATCCCCATAACTATAAATTACAAGTTAGCCATACAAAAACAAAACCAAACCCATTGCCATCAAGTCGATTCCAATTCATAGCAACCCAGAGTAGAACTGCCCCATAGTGTTTTCTAAGCTGCAATTTTTAATGGAGAAGATCTCCAAGTCTTTTCTCCCATGGAGCCTCTGGGTGGGTTTAAACCACCAACTTTTCAGTTAGCAGCCAAGTGCTTAATCATTACAGCACCAAAAAAAAAAAAACCAAACCCATTGCCATTGAGTCGATTCCAACTCATTGCAACCCTATAGGGCAGGGTAGAACTGCCCCATAGAGTTTCCAAGGGTGTGATCCTTATGGAAGCAGACTGCCACATCTTTCTCCTGCAGAGCAGCTGGTGGGTTTGAACCACCAACCCCTCGGTTAGCAGCTGAATGCTTTAACCACTGCGCCAGGAGGGCTCCTAAATTGACCAGAAGCGATGTAAACAGACCAGGTATAGCCTACTAATAGCATTCCATACATCTGGGCTCTCTCTTGTCTTTCTGGTAGTAAATACCATCATGAGATTAAACTAGCATGTTTCAAGGAGAGGCACCTGGCCATTTCTTTCTTTCTTTCTTTTTTTCTCACTGCCTGCTAACCCTTTCTTTCCCAAACTAATCTTATTCCCATTTTACAGATGAGAAACCAAAGAACAGACTGGTTAAGTAATGCAACCAAAGTCACACAGCAAAGAGGCAAATGCTAAACCTGTATCTAGCCCATCCGTGTTTTAGGACCTGTGACCTTAGCTCTTAAACACACAAGTGGTTGATGCTCATTAGCTGTTGGCTAAATTGAATGGAATTAGGCCTATTTGCCCTGGGTGGTGCAAATGGTTAAGTAGTCCATGACTGACCGAAAGGTTGGTGGTTCAAACCCACCCAGAGGCACCTCCGAGGACAGGCCTGGTGATCTGCTTCCGAAAGGCCACAGCCTTGGAAACCCTATGGAGCACAGTTTTGCTCTGCACACATGGGGTTGCCGTAAGTCAGAATTGACTCAATGGCAACTAACAATAACAACAGGCCAGAAGTTGATTTGCAAGGTTAAAAATTATTCAGAGGAGGCATGACCTGGACCTATACATAAAATTTGGGATAAGAGGAGGAAGTTTTATTTTTCTTTTCCCAGGATGGAGTTAATCTTGATCAGCATCCATCAGCCCTGTTTGTGTCTACATAGAAAGAAAGAATTTTGTCACTTGTATCTAGTTGTCAGATCCTCTGGCTGGAGGTGAATTAAAAGCACTTTGATTTTCATGGTTTGAGCATTTCGGCTTCAGCTATCAGGACATAAGTGAGGTTCTTTCGTCTTTGTCTCTTAGACTCACGGACACCTAAATCATAGTACTTAGTGTCGAAGCGAAGACTGTGCTGACACCTGCAGAGCTTCACGGTGAATTGAGGCAGAGCAATTTCAGAGCTGGCGGGGACCTCAGAGATCATTTGGCAGATGACAAAACATTCCACTGGGCTGGAATGAATTCGGCTGAAAGCATCCTGAGGTTGGAAAAGAACAGAAAGTTTTCCTAATCTAGTCACTCACTGGAAACTGAAATCCTATCTGTGATTTCCCTGCCAAGAAGTATTCCAGCTCTGGTTTGGTTGCTTCCACTGACGGGGAACTCATTACCTTATGAAACTTTCAATTCTGTGCTGCACAGGCTAGCAAACTACGGCCCATGAGCCAAATCTCGTCATGACCTATTTTTGTGCAGCCCAGGAGCTAAGAATGATTTTTACACTTTTTAAAGGTTATAAAAAACAAAAAATGAAGAAGAATGTGTGACAAAGACCATATGTGGCCTACAAAGACTAAAATGTTTACTATCTGGCCTTTTACCAAGAGGGCCAGGGTTTGTCAGCCCTGCTAGAGTCCCTCAGCTCTAGCAGTGGAAGATTTTCGAGAATAAACTGGGTGGGTCAGATGTGTGGTGTGAAGAACGAACATGAGAGGCAGTTGGGAATGGGGGGCACACCAGAAGCAGTGACATCAGCCAGGGGGTGCAGGAAATGAGGACCCGTACAAGGGCGGTTAGCCTGGGGAGGGCTATCTCCCTCGTCCCCCTCCCAAAAGGAGGCCCGTGGTCACCATCTCTGTGATAGGTGCAGTTACTAAGGGGAGGTCCACATTTCCCAGTGTGACTGCAGAGCTCCTCTGGCCACCTTTATCTGTAGCGGCTGCTCTCCTAGGCAGAACAATAACCAAAACACCAAACCAGTTGCCATCGAGGTGATTCCTACTCATGGCAATCCAATGTGTGCAGAGTAGAACTGCTCCATAGGGTTTTCAAGGCTGTGACCTTTCAGAAGAAGATTGCCAGGCCTTTCTTTTGAGGTGTCTCTGGGTGGACTCGAACCGCCAACCTTTCGGTTAGCAGCCAAATGCTTAACCATTTGTGCTACCCAGGGGCCACCAGAGAGAACAGTAAACGTTGATATGGTATCACAGTGGAAGGTTTGGCCTCTTCACTGCCCCTAACTCACATCCCCCACCACCCTCCCACCCCATCCACACTCCCACCCCCTCACCCCCCCGCCACCGCCTTTACACGGATAAGCCAAGTTGGACTCATCCACAAACCTGAAGATGTTTGCTGACTCAAACCACAAAGCTTTGCCATTTGGGCTTTTTCCAAGTCTTCACCTACTTGCTTTGATATTGATTCTCCCCCAGTGTTTGAACCCTGTTATGGATTGAAGTGTATCCCCCCCAAAATATGTGTTGGACTCCTGACCCCTATACCTGTGGATCTAATCTTATTTGAAAAATAGGGTTTCCTTTGTTGTGTTAATGAAGTCCAACAGCATAGGGTGTGTCCTAAACCTAATCACTTCTGAGTGATATAAGAGCAGCCTAGGTACAGTGACAAGCAAGCACAAACTGGAGAAGACAGACCCCACGTGAAGATCTCCAAGGAACTGAGGAAGGCTGGAGCTACAGAAGCTGAAAGAGATAAGGATCTCCCCCACAGTGGACAAAGAGAGAGGCTTTCCCTATAGCTGGTACCCTGAATTCAAATTTCTAGCCTACTAAACTGTGAGAAAATAAATTTCTGTTGTTTAAAGCCACCCACTTGTGGTATTTCTGTTACAGCAGCACTAAGAAGCTAATACATA